ATAGAATAGAATAGAATAGAATAGAATAGAATAGAATAGAATAGAATAGAATAGAATAGAATAGAATAGAATAGAATAGAATAGAATAGAATAGAATAGAACAGAATAGAATAATATGACACAGTTGGAAAAGACCTTGGAGGTCTTCTAGTCCAACCCTCTGCTCAGGCAGGAAACCCTATACCATGATGCTCCCCCCCACACACACACATATATGCACACACTGTATTCATGTGATTGTATTTTGAGCACTTGACAACCAGATCCCCCTTACAGCTTTTTGCAGCTCTCCTGGTTATCTTACTGTAATTTGTGACACTTTTGCCAATTTCTGGTGCTTAATTATGGTTACTGGGGGGAAAAAAACACTGGAGAAAATGGATTTGCTTAACAACCAGTGGGGATCATTTAACGACTGTCATATTCATTTAACAACTGCTGCAAAAAAAAAGTGTTGAAAATTTGAATCTGGTCTTGTTATGTCTTGACTTACAACCGCAACATATGACTGTTACAGTCAATTACAGTTGTAAATCAAGGACTACATATACCGGTACATATTTTAAACCTTTCATAGCACTTCTTTTTCATTGCTTTTCTTTCCAGTCCCTCCCAAATAAATTATAGTGGACGTTAGATAGACACTTTCCCTGGCCACTAGATGTCCTCAGAGATTATAAGACAAATCAACAAGGTTTGAACTAAGGCTACAAAAATATTAGCAACATTTTAGCTTTACTAGAAAAAAAGTTTATTTAGGAGAGAGAGAGATAAGATGTGCTTTTCATCATGCACGAGATAATCTAAGTTTCTACAATTAGAGATGCATTTAGAATAATTACCTAACTGGAAACAATTTTTTGAGAATAAGAAAAAGAATACTTATAGATTGTATAATAGACTGGAGTAGGTTTGGAATTTGATGTCTATTATTTCCTGATTTTTAAGAATCATATATACCCGTGATGGCAAACCTATGGCACGCATGCCACAGGTGGCATGTAGAACCATTTGTGCGGGCACACGCTGGGCAGGTAAGTTGGGCCAGACCAACTTACCTGCACTGAGCATGCGCACACTTCCCAGCTGATTTTCAGTCCATTTGACGCCCTTTTCAGCCTCCCAGAGGCTCGAGGGAAGCCCCTGCAGACTTGGGAGGCCAAAAAAATGGGTCTTCTGGAAATACTAGAAGAGTCAAAACGGGTCCATTTTCAGACTCCTGAGGCTGCAGAGGCTTCCCTAAAGCCCCTGGAAGGGCGAAAAACAGCCTCAAACGGCCCGAAAATCATCTGGGAGACATGCACATGCACAGTGCAGGTAAGGGGGCGATGTGTGGGGGAATCGCGCAGGGGCATTGGGGGCGCGCATTGCCTTCTGGGTGCTGACACATGAGCAATTGAGCGTGCACAAGCATGCCTGCAATTTTTGGCACAGGAGCCCAAAAAGTTTAGCCACCACTGATATATATAGCCCACCATCCATTTCTTAACATTTTAGACCACAGAGGTGTTACATATAACATGCCCTCACTTACAGGGTTTCATATGACAGCTGCTCCATCCCCCATTTTATTTTCAACACAGTGTGTATCATAATTAATATTTTTATTTATGTTGACTACTAGAAGGTCATCGGGTGTGCATAAGAATTGATTTAGAATGTAAAGAATTAAAACATGGATGGTTTTGGAACAGTCAAGATTTAGAATCTGATAGATACAACCAGTTTCCTCCACCTTTGCTTTCAGCTTTCACAATCCAAATTTCAGCAAGATAAGGAAAAAAATAACGTGCAATGACTTTGCATAAAGACCCATTCAATCAGGCATTATTTTGAGGTGGAATGAAGACTGAACAATTAAGCCTGTGCACTTAATTGTTACAGGCTTTCCAAAATGGGCAACTTGATCAACCCTTTGAAGTCAGCCCACTTAGTCAATTCCATCTGCAATCTAGTCAAGATTATTTAGACACTAAGATATAATTAGTAGGTTTTATGCACAAAAAGCAAGTGTTTCTTAGATGAAAATAGTGATGTGAAGTCTAGAAAGCACATTGTAAAATGTCACCTGAGATCTAATTGTGTCATCTACATTTTCAACAAAGAAAAGGTCTTCCACTTTGCTCTTTACAGGTGGCCACAATCTCTCCTTTGCGAACATGAAGGTTATGCAGTCTCTCTTCATTCTCACTTCTTTTACATTCTCCAATTTACCTGCAACCTCCTCATTCATTCATCCAAACCATACTTTTTCACCACATCCAAATCAGCAAACTCTGCTTTGCCTTCCAAATCAAATCTGGGAACTATGGTCTGAATCTGATTTCCAATTTTATTTGGGAAGGCAAGCCTCAAGATTTGTAATACAAGCATAATAAAAAATTAGGGCTTCCTTAAAATGGGAAGGCAGAGAAGGTCATTGCCCAGGAGATCAAGGGGAAAAAAAAAAGCACTGAAGACTGTCATTGATTGATGCAACACCAAACCATGGTGTGGCAATACATATGAATCTGTGTAATGCTATATAAATGATCCTGAGGTTCAATGTGCAGATAAAAGACACCATAATCCACATAGTGGTTAGGAAAAGAGGTTCAGAAGGGGCCCTCTGTCAGAGTTCCAGTTAACACACCCAATGCAGTGGTGGTATGCTACCGGTTCAGCCCAGTTCTACCGAGCCAGTAGTGGCGATGAGCAGCGTAGACCAAACTGGTTCTCTCTGCCGCTCTGCTGTTAGGATCACCCACCTGCCCAGGCTTCCATACTCACCTTTATCTTCTGAATTTGAAGTGCAGCTGCTTTGCGCAACTGGGAGAGTGCAGGCTTGCAGGTGAGTTGGAATGCCTCTACACCTGTGCAAACACCTTTGCACCTGCGCAAAGTGCATGTTTGGTGTGTGCGTGCACGCAAAGTGTGCATATGCAAGCAAAGCGCGCCCACCAAGCCACACCCACCGAACAGTGGTAAAAGTTTTTCAATCCCACCACTAACCCAACAGAATCAATGCTCCTCAAAGTATAGATTTATTAGGCATGTCATATTGACACATCTGGAGAAAACCCAACTCTGGAGGACCTGAGGTTTTCCCCACCCAAATCAAACTCCAAAGTTCTTCCCCTCAGGTCATACATCCGTCACATGGTCCAACCAGGTTGCAACCACCATCCTGGCTGGCTTTAGTTCACATCTCTCCAACACCTGGTAGAACATCCTTGGCTCCCACGGGAGAGAATGTTGTTTTGGCTACACATCTCCAGCTATCTCTAACCCTCCCCTCATGTTCCCACAGCTCCAACCATCCTTGCTGTGGCATCCCTGAAGGTGGTCCCAAAATGGCTCCAGCTTAAAAAAAATGGCTTCAGGGATGACACCCTCCCTATTTTCTCAGGGTATAAATTAGATGGGAGTGAGTTGGTTGAGATGAATTTTCAGACTTACAAATTTGGTGCCAACTTCACAATGTAAATCAGATCCCAACCAGATGAGCTAATTCTATTTTATTGTAAAATGATATTGAATCTTGCAAGTCTGAAAGTACATCTCTTCCCCATCTCTTTTGCAGCCCAAGCAATTAGGGAGGGTCCTTTCTGAGCTTCTTGTCCCACCCATTATGCAGTTGCAGGAAATGTTGTCTCTTATTGACTGTTCCCTTGGCTACATCTCTTGGCTCAGGCTCCCAAGATCTTTCATGCATACCCATCACCCAATGGGACTATTTTTGGAAATGTTATATCAGCACCTTACCTTGTAAGCCAAAGAGCTGTCCAGTACTGTGCTGCCGTGTGATGTGCTGCCAATAGGCACTCCTGGGCAAAGGGACCATGGTGCCAAGAGAAACAGCCCGGTCAGTCATTTTCATTTGAAGCTGAAAGAAAATCCAAGACATAATGGGATGAATCTCTGAGGACCATATGAAATGTATCTTCAACATGTTGCATCAAAACCTAGGTTGGTTTTAATGCTTTTCATCTTTTCAATGTGTAAAAAGGAAGCTCATATCCAAAATTAATGATAGTTTATGTAACCGAAGAAAGCAGAAGAATGTTAGAATCATCTGGCTTTATCAAATAAGATTATTATCTTTAATATCTTCAGTCTGGAGTTTGATTCTGATGGCTTCAGGTTGACTCAGCCTTCCATCATTCTAAGGTTGGTAAAAATGAGGATCCAGATTGTTGGGGGCAATATGTTGACTCTATAAACCACTCAGAGAGAGCTGTATGTTCAATCTAAAGATACCAAGAGTCACACTGATAACTCCTTTGAGGAAATGGATCTCATTAACCAAGATTTTACCATATTTCCTTGGCTGAGAAATAACACTGTTGCAATTTTATTCATTTATACCCCTTTGTTGGGTTTAAGGTGAATAATTTAGGAAGTAAAGAATTAATGTATTTAACAGCATTGCATTCAAATTTCTCAAATATCAGCAAGGTGGGAGATATGCCATTCTAACAATTTGTCTCTCCCAATATGTACGTACACACACACACACACACACACACACACACACACACATTCATTTAGGATCTCTGGGACAGAGGAATCACTGAAATATAGACTGGATGACATTAGATTTTTTTTTAATAGGAATACCAGAATCTCCTTCCTGACACCCAAACATATAAGAGATTTGTTAAGATATATTGATAATAATGGGAGACAAACCATGATTGGTATACACCAACTCCCTCCAAGACCATCTTTATCCTGCCATGCCTTGTTCCACATGGGTTATTTTACTTCTATCGCTTCTGCTCTCTTCTATCTGTACATTGGTCCATGAAAGCAATTTATTCTCCACTTCCAACACACTATCAAAACTTTCACCAGTTCTTGGGGGAAAAGTTCAAGTAAGAATGACATCTTTTGCAACTGTTTATAGTTCAGTTTGACTTTGTTCTGGGATTACAACTTTGGCCGTAAACTGATTACAATCATTTCCTGATATATTTTTCAACGAATAAAAATGTGTGATTAGACTTTCACAGTATAAAATGAAAAAAGAAAAACATGCCATTTGCTGGAAAGTTGATTTCATAACAATTCTACTTTAGGGAGTTAGGAGGGAGTTAGAATAAGCTACAGATTATCACACTTGTTCAGAACAAATATGCTATTCTAAGAGTACAGAAAATAACACATGGCATGGCCATTCGAAGACAAAAACACTAGGGAAAACATATAATTATTTTCCCACAATTTCTTCTGGAAGAAAATTTGCAGACTGTATTTTCCTTAGTGGAAACCATGGCAGGATGAATATGAGATACAAATGAGATTTTATCTAATTTTTTTTTATTTTCTGTCCTTCTCTTTCTCCACGTACACAGAGAAAGAGCAGAACTGAAGAATGATCATTTTTAAAAGAAAGTAGTTCATCCCTAGCTTTGCTTAAATGTTTATGAATTGCTGCAACACTCCTAAAAGAGAAACACCGTTCTTGCGTTTCTTGGATTCACCAGGTAATAAAACGAAGCTAAATGTCACCTGGTCTTTCCAGGAAGCACCAGAGAAGAGAAGAAGTCTGTCATTGTGGTGATTAGCCCACCCAGGTTTTTGAAAGTCAAAAATATCTGAAAAAATTATCTTGAACACCCTGTAGATTTTCAGAAGCAGTAATTCCCCCCCCACACACACACACACTACATCTCTTAGATATCTGTTAATTTATTTTTTTAATTAAAAAAAAAGGGCTGCTGGAATCAAAAATGGCAAGCTGTAGAATGCAATGCATCTTAGCTAATCAGCATATCCTTAGTCCCTTCAAATTGGAGTTTAATAAGACTTACACATACTAGGACAATATGCAAAATATGAATGCCATGCTTGTTTGTTTGTTTGTTTGTTTAAAAAAAAACTTATATAGTTTTGTTTACACCACTTTGAGGTAATGGTTAGGATGAAGGAGAAAACCAGGAGACTGTGAGTTCTAGTCCCGCCTTAGGCATGGAAGTTGGTTGGATAACTTTGGGCCAGTTACCCTGTCTCAGCATAGCACAGCTCACAGGGTGGTTGTTGTGAGGGGGAAAAGAGGAGGAGGAAGGAGAATATTATGTACCTGTGCCACCTTGAGTTTCTTACAAAAGTAATAAAGGCAGGATGAAAATCAAATAAACAAATAGAGCAACATTACCCATATTATGAGCCATGGTCCTGAGCAGCTCCCAAAACAATAAGAACATTAAAAAAACCAAAACAACTACAAATAAAAACTTGGTGGTCTGGGGGAAACCAATCTCCAACACATCCGTGTTTTAGCTTGCTAGCCTTCGGTCTCATTCTTTCCAAAAGCTTACAAGAAGAGACAGTTCTCTATGGCCTGTCAGAAAACTATGAGTGTAGGATCCTACTGCATCTCTGAAGGTGTTTCAGAGAAAACTACTTATATTTAACTTTCAATTTCTGTAACATTTAGCCATTTTACTGGAAACAAACATCCAATTTGAAATCTTTAACATTTGCATCTGGATTACAAATACACCATGAAATAAAAGCTTCTACCCACACTGTTAAATAAATACATTCCATCAGGTAAACCTTCAAAAGAATGTACAAAATTATCCTATATTTTACTGTCATGGAAACAATTGAAATCTATTTTAGTAACCGTAGCACATTTTAAAATCTTGCATTTGAAAACAACTTAAAAGCGTACCCTTCCATATCTCTCATCTTTTTGAACTAAAGGTATCCTTGTTTAAAATAAAAGATGAATAAAATATTTTTAAAAGGTTATTTTTAAAGAAACTTCAAATATTCTGATAGAATGGAAGGGCTGGAGAAAAGCATTTAATCAAAGAAAACAAATAGGTTTAAATAAAACTTATTTTTAACAGGAGAAAAACATTGAAAAGAACTGTACAAGAAAAAAACCTTTCTGATATTTATTTCTAGATCACAAGCAATTAATAGATTAAGGAAATACAGCTAATAATAATTTCTAATAATTATTATTTTTACCATGCCAAAAAGTCTTGGATAACATTTAACAAGCCTGTGCATTGATAAATTTCCATCTATCAATTATGAAAGGCAACATTGCCTAGATTGACACATACAGTATACTATGCAAGTACATAAAGATGTCCTAAATTCTTGGAAAGAACTTATGAAGGTCAACATTAGCTAAAGAACTGACAACTGTGACTTCATATTGTTGTGATAGGGAATAATAATGAGCACCTTGGGTGCAATTCCAAAACAATTTGAGAGTTCCACTTGAACACCATCAACAATGATGGGATTCAAAAATGTTTACTGCCAGTTCTGTGGGCATGACTTGGTGGGTGTGGCAGGGGAAGGATACTATAAAATCTCCATTCCCACCCCACTCCAAGGCAAGGATACTACAAAATTGTCATTCCCTCCCCACTTCTGGGGGAAGGTTACTGCAAAATCCCATTTCCTCCCCACCCCATTAACCTGATTTCCAGCTCTGTTCTCCTGTTCAGGGCAACAAAAGAAGACCCAGCCGATCAGCTGGGACTCGGGAGGCAGAAAATAGATGGGGGCAGGGCCAGTCAGAGGTGGTATTTGCTGGTTCTCCAAACTACTCAAAATTTCTGCTACTGGTTCTCCAGAACTGGTTAGAACCTGCTGAATACTACCTCTGATTAACACTGACAAAATCACCACCAGTCAATTGCAAAAGGCAACTTTACTTGGAACAACTTACATCCTGTGATGATACCTTTAACACCTCCCAACAATAACAACTGCCTATAACCCAGATCCGTGAGAAGGACTTGATAGGTGAAAGTCTGTAGAGATTCTCAGTCATCCAGATCATGGTTGTCTTGAATGACTGAGAATTCCATTCCCCACTGTCCTATTCCATTCCCACTATCCTGTCAGAGCTGAAGAAGCTTCTTGGATGAGAAGTGAAACGTCAAAAGAAGAAAACAAGGAAGTCCAGTTGCCTCCTGAAAAAGCACCTTTGGAACAACTTGATAGGTGGATGAAAATTCCAAACCCACTCTAAACATCTGGCTGACTGTGTGACCAACCATAATATGTTAATCTAACATCTCAAATTTTGCCTGGTGATTTCAGGTACCAGCCGATCTATCTCTGCTTCTGTTCCACAAAATCAAAGAATACATTTCTGTCTTCCAGTGAAATTCCAGCGTGATTTGGAGCAAAATATCACATATATTCCAAATGAGGTTTCTAGTTTAAGATACATTTGTTCTCAGGCAGATAGTTTTCATCAATCTCATATTGCATCATGAAGTTTGTAGGCTTAAAGCTGGGTAAACAAGTCAGCACAACTTTGGTCAAGGTAAAAATATTGGCAAGATGTTTCCCATTTGGGAAATGGACAACAATCTGAGGAGGACAAGATTATTGATCCAACTGTTTGGTTTCATGCAGTAGTTCTGTATATGAGCTACACAGAGATTATGTTTCTGGCATGCCAAACCTTTCCTTTCAGGTCCTATTATAACATGTACTTGATTTCTCCAAACTTCATATTGAACAAAAAATGTTTATGAATGAAAATTTATAAAAACAAATTTTAAAAAAGAAAAATATAACAAAAAGAGAGTTGGCATTAGACTTAATACAAGAAAATGTTATAACTAAGATGATACATTATCTGGTAAAAGGCTAAAAAAGGGCAATTCTGTAGATTTGCTGAGAAAGGCAGAAGAACACCAAAATGCTTTTCCTTATAATGTCTTCTTTTGGCTTACTTGTGTTATACCCTCCCCCACCCTAAAGACTCATGAGAGGCTCATATCTTTCCAAGGAGCTTTCTTTTAATATTTCAGGGTCAAATGAGTAGCTCAGCAACAAGGGTGAAACCAGGAGTGGATAGACTGCAGTCTTAGAAATGAAAGGAGTTCCAAACCACCCTTCTGCCAACCCCTAGAGCAGATGTGTTCATCCTTGGCACCTTGAAGACTCATGGCCTTCAACTCCCAGAATTCCCCATGGCTGGTTGGGGAATTCTGGGAGATGAGATCCACAAGTCTTCAAGGTACCAAGGTTGGACACCCCGCCTTAGAGGATATCTGGCCTACTGTTTTATAACAGAGGCGAATCAATCCATTGGGATACTTTTGAGGTAGCTTTCACTTCCCATATTCATCCATCAAACAGCAATTGCAGCTACAGGTTCACTTGGTAAACCCATTGCTTAGAAACAAAGATGAGGAGTAAGCTAGCAAGAGCAAGTAGATTGCTTTGCTGTTCCTACCATCCAACCTGAACTCTTACTTAAGAAGGTGGCTTGTGTGTTCATGAAATTAGGAGGCCTACCATTGAGGTTTTCACACTCTGCAGTAAGTGGTCATGTTGTTCTGCTATGGTCAAGGCAGCTGAGTGGACTTTCTGATAGATTGCCTCCCCATCTCTTGTCTGGAAGATGAATAGGCCTTCCCCAGTATCACACATCCTGCCAGAAAAAGAACAGAATGTGGTTCCACATGATTCAGAATAATTTAAACTGTTCATTCCTACAGCAGGGTCTCTGCTGGGGGAAAGAAAGGAGCAAGAAAGGATGAAGCAAAAATAGCAGATACTATAACAGTGTATTAAATTCAGATGAATTTCTGTCTTCCCCCCATTTCTTGCAATTTTACCATGTTTCTTGACACAGAAGTCAATCCTGTTCCAATTTTATGCTCCTTTGTAGCTTTTCCATTGCAAAATATTGCTATGGAAATACCTTTCTCTGCAGGTTTTGGGTATGCAATTTTCTATAAAGTGTGTATTGACTGGAGAGCTGTACCACGACATGCAGAAATGTGCAAAAATCTGAGGCTCCTTAAGAGTCCAGTTTGCATATGTTGCTTGCATATTAAAATTTAAACCACAGTTATTAGTCAAAGATAAGTATCACACGTATATCCTTGGGTAGACAGATAAGCACAAATATTTTCTACATCTGGGGAATCTAAATAAAGGCCATACAAAGCACATTTAATGAAAATAAAAGCACAAAGAGAGAGAGAATTTAAAGTTCATTTCATCTCTAGAAGGCTACTTTTTAATACTCTCAAAATTATACATTCTTTCTCCGTATAACAAGATAGCTTACAACCCATTATTCCATACGGAGCGCAGATATGAATTAGTAGAGTAGCAGCAGAATGTCCTCAACTTACAACCACAATTGGGACCAGAATTTTTGTTTGCTAAGCAACACGGTTGTTAAATGAGTCACAATGAAATTTATGACCTTTTTTGCCACAGTTGTTAGGTAAATCACTGCAGTTGTTTGGCGAATCACATAAGGATGAAGCAAATCTGGTTTCCCACATTGACTCTATTTATTGGAAGCTGCTTGGGAAGGTCACAAAAGGAGATCATATGACTCCAGGACATTACAACTGTTGTAAATTCATGCTAGTTGTTAAGCACTCAAATTTTGATCATGTGAACCTGGGAATGCTGCAATGGTCCTAAGTGTCAGGACCAGTCTCAAGTTCCTTTTTTCAGTGCAGTTGTAACTTTGAACAGTTGCTAAACAAATGCTTGTAAGTCAAGGACTACTTGCATACTACCATAGCATACAACCATGCTGCCATTTTGGCTGACTATTTCCGCCAGATTAAACCTGTACATTTTAAGAGGACTTTCAGTACTGGAAAAAAAAATGCGTTCATCTCTGAAGCAGAAAATATTGTTCTTCCAGTACTGGATATTCTAATTCATCCATTGTTAAATGCTCTCTCTTGTCTACCCACCAGGCCAAAACTGTACATGTGTGTGAATATATGTGTGTGAATATATGTGTATGTACATGGATGGGAAATGTGTTTTTATCCTTCCTTTAAAATTATCCTGAATAAAAAACACAGGGCTGATGTACCTGTGTTGCATGCAGAGAAGTATAGGTTTGATTCTGCACATCTTCAGATTGGGCTGAAGAAATTAAAAAAGAAATCTAAAACAATCCCCCAAAAGTCCTTGCTAACCAATCTAATACCAGAAAAGATACAGTCCAGTCTTGAATCATGCTTCTATAGCTTCCAATGCAACTGACTGTAATCAGATTTACACTTGTCAAGAGATTTAAAATATTGGCTGTTCTCCCAAAACCAAATAGACCTACTTCCTCTGCCATCAAATATATCAGATGTTATATTAATAGGACAGAGAACAGTTGTTGCTACTGTATATGTCTGTTGGCTTGTTGTGTGTCTTGTTAATACGATATACAAGGGCTCCATCCAATGCAGAGAGAATTTCCTGTTTTCAACAATATTATGAAAAAAAAATATCCTGCAGAAACGAATTTGCTCACCTTCCAGCTTCAAATGTAAACCAGGTTGAGTCTCTCCCATATCGCCGGAGGGCACTTAAAGGCCAAGACACAAGTTTTATTCTGGGATTCTGTATGTCCCAAAGACAGATATTTTCAAATGTTATCTGCAAGGTACATTCCCCATGCACATCTAAATTAGGTGAAGGCATCAAGTACACGTGGAATCTCTCTGGGAGAAAAACAAAACATTCAAATTAAAATCCTTGCAGAACTAAAAGCCAGCATAATCGTAACAAATCATGCGTCACTTTTTTGTGGCATTTTCAAATTGATCCATAACTATTCCTACATTTTTTCCTAACAACCTACAAAATGAAAGAGCAATTTTACATGGCTTGGATAATTTTTATTTGATTGTACCATTTCCATTGGCAGAAGAAAATCATATTTTTGAATGTCACTGAAGAAACTATTGATTGTAAAAACGTAGTTCACTGAAGACAAAATTTCAGTTTAGGGTTTTGCTAGACATGGTACTTTGCTCTATGGTTTATATATGTGAAACCGCTTCAAAAACATGAAGCCCCAATGCAATTGTTAAAACTTAAATTCTACGAATTAGGGGTACTAAATTGTGCATGATGTACACCCAAAGAATCTGCAAAATTCTGCCTACAAACTTTCTGTTTTGGGAAGTTAGAAAGTCAACAGGGTTCTTAGTGATATAGAAGTGTAACTGTTGGACATGAACACAAGGGGCAATCCAAAAACCCTTGGATCCTACAAGGACAATCCAAATTATGCATTTGTTAAAATAGATTGATTTCCACATAAAAGAATAACAGAGTTGGAAGGGACCTTGGAGGTCTTCTAGTCCAACCCCCTGCTCAAGCAGGAAATCCTATACCATTTCAGACAAATAGTTGTCCAATCTCAGCATTTTTCACATTCCTAACAACAGCTGGGATTTATTCTCATTTTAAATAATTTCTCCTTTGCTTAGAAAGGTAGGACTGAAACATTTAATTAAGCAATGCTGAATCTACCTCTGTTGGGTGACACATAGTTTAACTGGCAAGAGGGAAAGAATGGGGCAAGAGAGAGGAGGACAGAATATGTCACTTGCAGATTAAAAAAAATTGACTAAATTAAAGAATTTAACAAAAGGAGCATTTCTGGATTTTATCAAGCCATTCTGAAGACTCTGTCAACCCTAGAGTTGGCCTGGCTGAAACCATCTTGGAGCTGCTGCCACACTAGAGCTGAGGGATAGGGACGGGGGGATTAGAGATAGCTGGGGCTGTGTAGCCAAAATAAAATACTTTCTCTTGAGAACCAACGAGGTTCTCACACCTGGCTGGAGGAAGGAGGAGTGATGTCACCAGACCAGCGAATGCTGCCTTAATTCAAGCATGTGACTGGAATTGAGGGGAAAAATGTTCATTTTTGATCAGGGGAAAACTGAGGGACCCTTCAGAGCTGGTGTTCACCAGATATATGCTAATATGATATTTCCAATAAAGCTATTCTTTGAGGAATCTACCTGCCTCGGAGTGTTGCTTGCAATGGATCTATTATTTGGCACCCTGATAGGCACCCTGAACGTGTCTATTTATGGTTATATGCAACATGTATTTACATACCATTCTGTTCCCTCTCTACACCAGAAGCCAACAGGTCAGGTTCTCCCAGGCTAATATCGTTAATCTGAGTCCCCAGGCACTCAATTTGAAGGACTTTGCACCATTCATCTGCTTCAAGTTCTGCATACAAATGACCAAAAATCTGCAGTTTGGTGTGGACCATTTGTAATATTTACAGCTACCACAATTGTGCAAGCACACATGCATTAGACCTACTGTCACATGAGGCCAGGGGTGGGATTCTACCAGTTTGCACCTATTTGCTAGAACCGGTTGTTAACATTCTAAGCAGTTCAGAGAACTGGTTGTTAGAAGAAATTACTGGCCTAATTCTGTAAGGAAGGCAGGAAGGAAACATTCTGGTGTTGCTTACAGAAACTGCCTCTCCGTTAACCCTTATTACATTCTTGGCAGAAACTAGACTTCCTGTCTCAGGAATGTCTCTGGAGATTTTTTTCCCTCCTTTGCTGGTACTTTGCTTATGTGGAGTGACCATTCAAAGTTACAATGGCACTGAAAAAAGTGACTTATGACCATTTTTCACACTTATGACTGTTGCAGCATCCCCACAGTCACGAGAGGCCAGGGAAGGAGATGCGTGCCTTGATGTGAGTTATATAGAGTTCACCACACCCAGCCAATAACATGACCACCAAGCCATGTCCACCCAGTTAGATGACCACCAAGCCACACCCACCACCTAAGCCACACCCACAGAACCAGTTGTTAAAAATTTTGAATCCCACCCCTGCGTAAGGCTCCATTCAAAATCCAAGAAAGACACCCTTAGACTCCATTCTTACAGAGAAAAGGACTTTTACTGGAAATCAAGTGGTAGCATCAAAAGAATTCAAGATCTGAGATATTAGGCACGAAAATCACATATACAAAGTTATGGCAACATTCCCACCCACAACAGGTCAAAAAGTCCATCCAATCTGAGATATGTATAACGTCATCTGGGGCATCTTCAGGTAGTGATGCAGACATCTGGCCGTTGACCTTGGCCTGGTTAGATAAGATGCAGCTGTGCAGTATGCAAGTAAGCATAAACAATAAAGTTTTCCCCAAGTGTTACAGTTCACTCTCTAAAGCCTCCAGCACACTTCCCCCCCCCCCAAAGCCCAATATATCCTCCCTCCCCCCGTTACTATGGCAGCCGGAAAGACAAGCAGAAGAAAGATTTTTGAAGTCTGACACCTACCTGATTCACAAGCAAAAGTCCTGGATGTGTCATCGTTAAAATATATCCCTACAGCATGTTTCCTTGTACCTTTTGGCAACCGCAATATATTCTTCACATGATTAAGTTCTGTAACCTGGAATTAAAAATTAAAACAAAAAAACAGCCATTCGTGAATCTCGTTAAGGTTGTTTCACAATGAATATTCTAGGTAACAGGTGCAACCTGACAAATCAACACCATTCATTTGAGGTAAAGAACCTAAAGCTCTTTTCTGTTTTCTACATCCACAGGCCAATTTCATGATCAGGTAAGCTTACCTGTACCTTGACAGGGTCTGGAATGTAGCAACTGATTCAGGAAAGGAGAAATGGAAATACAACATAAATACAGGTGGTCCTCGACTTACAACCACAATTGAGTCCCACATTTCTGTTGCCAAGCAAGACAGTTAACTGAATCTTGTCCCATTTTATGACCTTCCTTGTCACATTTGTTAAGGGAATCCCTGCAGTTATCAAATTAGTAACACGGTTGTTAAGTGAATCTGGCTTCCCCACTGAGTTTGCTTCTCAGAAGATCACAAAAGGAGATCAAATGAGCCTGGGACAGTACAACCATCAAAAATATGAGTCAGTTGCCAAGCATCTGAATTTTGATCATGTGACCATGGAGATGCTGCAACAGCTGTAAGTGTGAAAAACGGCCATAAGTCACTTTTTTCAGTACTGCTGTGACTTCGAATGGTTACTACACAAACTGTGATTAGATGAGGACTACCTGTGTTAATTTAAAAGGACAAATGAAGAGCAAATGGACTGGAATATACTTTATCGAGGAACTGGATTCTGAATGTTGAAAGATTAGTAATGTGATATACCAGTAGTCCCAACCTTTATAGCTTAGTGGCCCAATGGGGGCAGATACAAACCAGCCCATGGAAGAATTGGGCCAGCGCATGCACATGTGCAGGCCAGCCCACTGTTTGTGTGAGTCAAGCTGAGTGAATGCCGGCCCACCACTCATGCAAGTATAGACCATTGCCCCGGGTTTGGGGATCCCTGTGTTGTGTCAGGATTCTGACACTTAACCCCATTTAAATCATGAGTCTCTAGCCAAACTTCAAAAGGATTTATTGGGAGTTAAATGACGCGGCATTGCTTGGGTGAAGCCGATTCTGAGACACATCATTCATTGCCACCCTTCACCCTGGTTTCCCCCCCACCCCCTGGGGGGAAATATCATAATTTGTATTCTCCAGTGGGACACATCCATAGCCAAGAGTCATCAATCATACTCTCCAGTTAGAATTTTGCATGGCAGAAACTTCGGTCACCTAGAAACTATCTTTGAAAACATTTATGGAATGCAAGCTGCCCACTGTTCCCCCCTCCCTTTCTGTTGGCAACTCTAAAAAGACCACAGAAACATTTTATGAGCTGACATAATATACAGTAGCCTCTTGTAGTGAAAGGGTCCAAGGTCAGCACATGAAAACCACCATATGTACATGTCTCTTATATACAGGCACAAGCAACTACTAAACTCCTAAGCAACAAGACTCCCAACTTTTATCCACTTGTATGTGCATCTACATGCAGACGTGTCTTTTCTCTCTGGAACTGAGCTAGTGAGTCCTCGACTTATGACCACAATTGAGCCCAAAATTTCTATTGTTAAGTGAGACATTAGTTAAGTGAGTGTTGCCCCATTTTACGATCTTTCTTGCCACAACTGTTTTTTTACTTTTTATTTTATTTGGTTTGTCAATTGCTTACAAGATAATAGGTATAAGTAAAAACATAATTATGAATACATGGATACATATAAGAAGAATAAAAGAAACAATAGGACAGGGACGGTAGGCATGTTGGTGAGCTTACGCACACCCCCTACAGACCTCTTAGGAAAGGTCAATAGTAGGCAGTCTAAGGTTAAAGTTTTTGGGATTTGTAACTGTTAAGTGAATCATCACAGTTGATACGTTAGGAACACAGTTGTTAAGTGAGCCTGGCCTCCCCATTGATTTTGCAGGTCAGAAGGTTGCAAAGGGGAGGGGCGTCACATGACCTTAGGACACAGCAACGGTCATAAGTATGAGTCAGTTGCCAAGCATCTGAATTTTGATCATATTTTGGTCATGGGGATGCTACGGAGGTCGTAAGTGTGAAAAATGGTCATAAGTCCCTTTTTTCAGTGGCTGTTGTAACATTGAACAGTCACTAAATGAACTGTTGTAAGTCTAGGACTACCTGTACTGTACAGAATGTAGAAAAGGAATAAGAAGTAATAAGCTGAAGAAATTAAATAAGAAAGAGAAAACTGCTAAGTCAAGTTATCCAACATGCCATTCGCTATTTTTCTCTGTTCCTTTCTATTCTTTCCAAGCTTCTTTGTTTGCCTTGTTCTTTAAGTGTTTCATATATCTTTCTGAGGATCCCTTCAACTCCAAGCATTTTTCTTAAGCCATTCACTCATTCTTGACACATTTCTTTTGTGATTCATTCTGCATTGATTTTGCCTTTATGACCAAAACAAATCCATTCCTTTCTTTCATTCATTTTTACATTCGATCCATAGTCATTCAAGCAACCATTGCATTCTTGACCTCATCTTTTCTTCTTTGATTGTACACACGTCCTTATTTTATTTATTTATTTGTTTGATTTGTCAATTGCTTACAAGATAATAGGTATAAGTATATACATAGTTATGAATACATGAAATGGGTACATATAAGAAAAATAAAAGAAACAATAGGACAGGGACGGTAGGCAAGTTGGTGCGCTTATGCACGCCCCCTACAGACCTCTTAGGAAAGGGGTGAGGTCAATAGTAGACAGTCTAAGGTTAAAGTTTTGGGGGTTTGGGGAAGAAACCACAGAGTCAGGTAGAGTATTCCAGACATTGACCACTCTGTTGCTGAAGTCGTATTTCCTGCAATCAAGTTTGGTGCGATTAACCTTGAGTTTGTATCTATTGTGTGCTCTTGTGTTGTTATGGTTGAAGCTGAAGTATTCATTGAAAGGTAGGACATTGCAATGTATGATTTTATATACCATACTTAGATCAGACCGAAGACGGCGTAATTCAAGGTTTTCTAGGTCTAGAATTTCAAGTCGGGTGGCATAAGGTATTCTACAACGAGTAGAGAAGTGGAGAACTCTTCTTGTGAAATATTTCTGGACTTTCTCAACTGTGCTAATATCAGATTCATAATGTGGGTTCCAGACTGATGAGCTGTATTCGAGTATTGGTCTAGCAAATGTTTTGTATGCTCTAGTTAGTAGTGTGATATTACCAGAGAAAAAGCTACGTAGGATTAGGTTAACAACTCTTAATGCCTTTTTGGCTATGTAGTTACAGTGGGCTCTAGCACTTAGATCATTAGAAATGAGTATTCCAAGGTCCTTTACAGAGCTTGGATCATCAAGAATATCTTGACTATTCAGCTTGTATTTTATTTTCTGATTTTTGCCAATATGTAAGACAGAGCATTTATTTGTTGAGATTTGAAGTTGCCATTTGTTTGACCATTCTGATACATAGTCAAAGTCTTTTTGAAGGGTAGCAGTATTGTCTGTGGTATTGAACAGCTTTACATCATCAGCGAAAAGAATGCAGTTGCTCTTAATATGATCACAGAGGTCATTTATGTAGAGTATGAAGAGAGTTGGTCCTAGAACACTGCCTTGGGGGACACCACTATTGACAGGTACAGAATTTGATAGGACACTCCCAATTTTGACCATTTGTTGTCTGTTTGACAGGAATGCTTCTATCCAGTTATTCAGTTGTCCAGAGATACCATAAGATTTTAGTTTTAGGAGTAGTTTGTCATGTACCACTAAATCAAAGGCTTTACAGAAGTCTATGTAGATTGCATCTATTGCTTTGCCCTGATCGAGTTATGTAGTCCATATGTTTTTGCAGTGTAAGAGTTGCAGATTACAGGATAGTTTTTTTCCTGAAACCAAATTGTTTATTGGAGAGTAGGTTGTTTGTCTCTAAGTGGAGGATAATGGATTGGTTAATAATTGATTCTATGACTTTACAGGTGACGCAGCATAAAGAGATTGGTCTGTAATTTTCAACTAGGCTGGGCTCTCCCTTTTTGAAGATGGGGATGACCATGGCTTGTGACCATGGGGTAGGCAAGGAGCTGGTCCTGAAAGATTTTTCAAGATTATGCTTAGAGGTTCAGCTATGGCAGTGGTTAGCTTTTTAAAGAAGTAGGCACTATTCCATCCAGTCCAATAGATAGAGATGGTTTTAGATTGCGTAGTGCTTTTTCAACATTGTCTTCTGTAAAATCAATATGTATTAGATCATTGTAGTTGTCTGTGGTTCAGCTAGGAATTTGTAAACATTGCTGTTTACAAATGCTGAGCCGAAGAATGTGTTAAAGATGTTGGCTTTAATGGTGTCGTCATTGCAGTCTTTACCATTAGGTCCTATCAGGGTGGGATGGACCTTGAGTCTTTTAGTTTGTTGTTTACAAAATTGTAAAAAGTGTGGGTGGAATTGGTGCATAGAAGGTTTTCCTCTTGTTTAATGTGATAATTGGTGCATTCAGTCTTTATCTGGTGACATAAATTTTTGTATTGGCTTTTGAAATTGGCAACGTGACCAGATTTGTTTTTCTGCCAGACTGATCTCTTTTTGGATTGAAGTTTCCTTATTGTTATGGGTAATCTGGTTTTTTGTTTTGTTTTGGGAGTTGTTGTTGGTACATATGGTTTGATGACTCTTTTGACTTCAAGTAAAAATATGTTGTAATGGTCTTCAACAGTATTGCATCCAGTGAATAGAGATTGCCAATCAAGGGATGGGAGATCGTTGTCTATAAGATCATAGTTGCCTTTTTTGAAGTTATAATTGGGGATTATGTCATTGTGATGATTTTTGTGTGGGCGTATGTTGAGACAGTGTTTTCTTCAGTGTTTTCAGTGTTTCAGTGTTCAGTCTTCAGTGTTTCATTTAAACTACTTTCAATACCTACTTCCATATAACCAGGCAAAATCACACTCTTGAGATTTATATGTTCCTCTTTCTTTCTTTCTTTTTTCTTGATCACTAACATTTATAGCATTGGTTTTCCATCCACTCCTCAACATTATATTATCAATCCTATCA